TTCTTTCTTTCTTTCTTTCTTTCTTTCTTTCTTTCTTTCTTTCTTTCCCCTATGAGTACACCAGCAAAGGGCAACAGATCCTTTTATAGATGGTTATGAACCACCACGTGGTTGCTGGGGATTGAACTCAGGACCTGTGGAAGAGCAGCCATTGTTCTTAACCACTGAGCCGACTATCCAACCCTATCCATGTATTTTTTAGTGGTTTCCTCTTGCCATTGTGGTGACCCTCAGGTAAGTCACCCAGAGAACTTGGTTCTTTGATTGAATAATGATTCCCTAAGTCAGTGCTAGGGACACATTAGTGACCACAGTAGTCCTGGGTCTGGACTGTGCAATGGATGTAGACACACTCAGTAGGGGGAATTTTGACACTCTGTGTAGCCCTGGATAGTTCTGAAACTCTCTCTGTAGATGGGGCTGGCCTTGAACTCAGAGATCCGCCTGCCTCTGCCTCTTGAGTGCTGGGATTAAAGGTGTGCTCCATCAGCACCAGGCTCAGATCTACCTTCCTTTATTTCTTCTTTTTTTTGTCTAGACAGGGTCTTTTGTAACTCAGACTGACCTAGAATGTGCTACACAGAAAAATAATACAGACTTTACCTGGAACTCGCTCTGTAGCTCAGGCTGGCCTCAAACTGAGATCTGCCTGCCTCAGCCTCCTAAGTGCTGGGATTTAGGTGTGCACCACCACCCTGATAATTTATCTTTATGTGCATTGGCATTTTGCCTGCATGTATGTCTGTGTGAGGGTGTCAGATTCCCGGTACTAGAGTTCTAGGCCTAGATGGTGTGAGCTGCCATGTGGGTGCTTGGAATGGAACCTGGGTCCTCTGAAAGAACAGTCAGTGCTCTTTAGCACTGAGTCATCTCTCCAGGCCCTTAAAGATGTTTTAGTTGGAGCTGTGTAGATGGCTCAGCTGCTCTTTCAGAGCACCTGCGGTTCACTTCCACCCACAGGGCCATTCTCAACAGTAACTCCAGTGCCAGGGGCCTGGCGCCCTCTTCTGGCTTTCAAAAGCACCAGGCGCATACATGGTGCACATCTGTAAGAGAATAATGGATCTAATAATGAATGTAATTTTTTAAAGACTGTTTTAGTGGGTCTATAGCTGGTCTCAGCAACTAAGCAAGTGGCCTTGCTTCTACAGGACAACTGCTCAGTTCCCAGCCCTTCCGTTGTGCAGCTCACAACTGCTTATTGAAACAGGTAGCTAAGGCCGGCCTAGAA